CCTCTCAGGCCTGCTGCGCTCCCGGCCGCCCGGCCAGCCTCCTGGATGCGGGGCGTTCTGGGCTGTGGGTCTGGCAGGAGGGGAGGGCAGGCTCGATGAGGCCAGTGCCTCAGAGGGGCCGAGATGAGCCCGGGTGAGGCTTGGATCCGGCCCAGCATCATGCCCCTGGTGGGAGTGAGTCACAAAAGAAAAGGGTTTTGTTTTTGTTTTTTTTTTTAAACAAGAGTTTTAGTTAATAGCATCTTTCCTTTAACTCATTTTTTCTTTTGACTCATAGTCTACGTTTGTTCATAACTTTTGCTTACGTGGGCCTCACGATGACCTGTTCTTCCTTAAGCACTCCTCTAGGCATCCTTTCTTTGGGCTTCCATTCCTGGCTAATTGCCTTGCTTTCTTTTGGGATTTCCTGGAGACTGAGGGAGAATCTGATCAGCCCAGCTTCCTTTCCTACACTAGGTCAAATCACAGGTCAGTGTCAACCAATGCACTGACCACTCAGTCCAGGTGCCTGTCCCAGGCCACTAAATTGTAGCGCATGTTTATGTGGGATCCCGTGGGACAAAATGTGCGGCCTCAGAGCCGCCCCTGGAGCACGGCTGTGGGTTCCTTCTCCCAGAATGGACAACTGGCGTCACAGGAAGATTCCACAAGAGCAGGGACTGTGTTGGTGTCTAACCGCTGTGGTGTCCTCCGTCCTTTCCACAGGGCCTTGAACAAAAAGATGCTCAATTAATTTCTGCTGGGGAAAAAAAATTAAGAAATTAACATATGTAAGTAGTCCCTAAAAATTCTATTTCCCAGCCTAATGGGGACATCTGGCCAGAAGATGCCAATAACACAGAACAACAGACAGCTTCTTGTGTGAACTACATTTATGTTCCTGAGAACTGGCACTCCATTCAGTCGCTCTGTGTCAGGCCCTTCGGGCATGTCCTTTCTCTTTCTAAGGAAGCAGAGTGTGCAGCTATTTCTGTGGTGAGATTTGAAGGGCCATCAAGTTCCCTGGCCCCCCTTCTCTGTGACAGCTCCTCCCTTGGCTAGCACAGTGGTTGAAATGCCACCATCATTGTTCCTCATTCCTCCAGCTTAGGTCCTCTGCCCGGGGCATCTGTGGCTTCAGCCTGCCCAGTCACCGCTTCCCTTCTCCCACGAGCACTAGCTTGGCTTTTCTAAAGGCAGTTGTCCCCACTGCTCCTTAATGCCTCTGGTTCAGGTGGTGTTGACTCCTCTCTAGGTTCCAGAGGTGGGATGTGAGGCAGTCTTTTCAGTGTATTCTATTCCTGGCCACAGCGACTGGTCCAAGGATGGGCTCCTATCTCAAGTCCTTGTAAAGACTTGCCTGACGGTACATTGGGACTTTGTGAAACAAGGGCTGTCACTTGTAAGTAGGTTTTTTGGACACACCCCTCTCTGATCGCTGAGCCTGGCCCCACAGGCTCCGGCCTTGGATCCCACAGGTAATTTGAGAATCACAGAATCACTAGGAGACACCTTGGAGGTCATGGGCCAACAGAGGAGGGAAACCTAGACATTCCCCCAAAAGGAACCCCATCACCACCTGACCTTGTTAGGCAGTTCCCAGACATAACTCCCAGATCTGGAGAGAACCGAGTAAATAAATAAAAACTCACCTTAACCACCCTGTGGGATCATGGGGAAAGGCAAGCAGAGGAAACTCACAAAGGGAGAAATACTGGAGTGGGGGTGGGAAGTTGGGGGGGTGGGAGAGACACTGGAGAAGCTATCATCCTTGATGGGAACGGAGAGTTGGAGAAAAGGATGGGTGCTCGCTGGGAGTCATGGTAGGAGCCAGGGCAACCTGCCAAGGAGAAAATGGAACGTGCTCTTTCTGAGCATAGCACATCTGCGTCTGTCACCCCAGGCTCAGCCCAGCCTCTCCTGGGCTTCACTGGCAGCCTTGTGTGGGACTCCAAGCTGCCCTGCAGATCCTGGAGATCGTGTTCTGAAACCACAGCACCCTACCCATCCCCTGTCCCCTGTTCTTCCCTCCCTCAGGCCGCCCCAACCTAAACAAGACAACCTGGGCAGGGGGGCCACACGCTTTTGGAAAAATACACACTTAGCTGGAAAAGGAGCTTTATTTGTGTGTGTTGAATTCCCACAGCAGCTGAAGGATAAATAGCTAGTCCCCAGCCTTAGCTTAAAGACTGCCCACAAGGTGGGTGGTAAAATCTGTTCTTATTTAGATAGCTTTGGGGGAGAGGTGGGGAGAGGGAGTGGGGGCAGCAGGAGAGGGGAGCTTGGAATCTACAATGTTTATATGATCAGTCACGGAGGTCATCTCTCCTCTTTAATTAGGGGTTTGGAGCTGGGAAACTTCACTCAGCTTGCTTGTCCTAGGAGCAGCGCAGACTGGCGAGTAGGCAAGGGGCACAACATCTCTTTGGGGCCCAGTTGAGGTTGGACCACTATCTTGTCTCCATCCAGTCTCCAGCTGAGCACTCGGTAAACGTCAGTACTGTGCCAGGCCCTGTACTGGGCCCTTTATGTGCATTATCTTAGTTAATCTGTAAAACAACCTCAAGAGTTAGCTACTATCATTATCCCCCTGTTCTGTGGGAGAACCCCAAAGCACAGAAGGATTGAATGGCATACTGAGGGCACACAGTTGGTAAGAAGTGCAGCCGGGACTGGGCTGGGGTCGCCTTGACCCCAGTAACCACGCTTTTAATACTTTTGCATCGTTCCTTGGGTGGGGTAAGGACCTGGACTTTTCTCACTCTCATTTTCTTTTATTTCTGTTCTCTAGCCCAGGTCCTCTGTACTTGCTATGTCAGAGAGTTGGACAGATGACTTCTAATCATTTTTGGCATTGTTTTTCTTGCATTAGAGAGAGAAGTTTCTTGTTGCCACTATATCCCCAGCACTTGGAACCAGACAGTGTACACACAATGGACACATTTTGTGATAGGTACAAATGCCATGAATTAAGTCAATGAGGGTAATGGGCTATATGCTAGAGTGCCTGGGACTTAAGGTGCTCCTTTAGATGGGACAGACAAAGACTTTCTGGGACAGCTAAATTTAGCTGAGACTATCACAGACGATGTAGAAATCCCTGAAGAAGGAATGAGCTAGGTCTGTTCAAGAGATTGGAAGTGGCTCATACGGCGGGAGTGTAGTGTATAGGGACAGAGGGTATGCCACAAGGATGGACAGATAAAGCAAGCAGGTGCTAGATCAGGGTCTTCTGGCCCAGGGAAGGAGACTGATTTTCCACCCCGCTCCCCAAGTGGCAAAAGGAAGCCACTTGGGAGTGTTTTAAGCAGGGAACTAAAATCTGGCTTTGACATCATTTAAAGATTATTCTTGCTGCTCTGAGAAGCATGGACTGTTGAGGGTCAAGGCTGGAGGCAAGGAGACATGGTCAGGTGACTACAGTAAACGTGAGATGAGAATGGCTTAAAGTAGTGTTAGAAGAGGGAGGGACAAGTGACCGGTAGAACTGACCAGACCTAGTGATCAGTTGTGGAGGGGCTTGTCCCATAGGAGGGGCTCCTTTCCTACAACTCTTCCCTAAGTCCAGCTTACATGTCACGTCTGGCTTCACCCTGCTCAGTCAGCACATGGCATTTCCCTGACCAAAGCGACTGGTTTCAGGGTGGTCCCATCAGAGGAACTTTCTTGCTCCACGGCCTGCTGGGTGTGAATTACAAAGTACCTGGCCCTGAGTGCGGCTAGGCGTTGCTCTGAAAGGGGACTATGTTTAAGGAGCAGGGAGCGAAGACAAAGTTTTTACTCTGGCAGGTGGAAAGAGACTGAAATCTTGGTATTGTTGAGCCTCTGAACACATCAGTCCAGATGCTCACCTTACTCCTGGACTTTCCATTTATTCCGTTAGAACTTCTCGTGTTGCATTGTCACCAGTCTGAGTCGGATTTCACTCACGGCTGAAAGCGGCCGAACTGATATACTAATGTTACCTAGGAACCCCAGATCTGGCTTAAATATGCATGAATATAGAGAAAAACCTGGAATAAAATAATTTCTGGGCTTTAAGAAGAACTAATTTTGAGAAGTAGGTTTACGAATTCTAGAGAAGTGGGAAGTTGATGAAGTGGGGGATACAAAAGAAATTCATATTTTCAGTTTATGCCATCATTTGTCATTAACGAATTAAAAAATTCACACTTCCTGTCTTGTTTGCCTTGAGTCCAGCACCACACGTCATGTGGCAGGCTGTGCTGGGTGAGGACACACAGTAATGCCTCTTCCGAGAAGCGCCGTTTTACCTGCACAGTGCCTAGCCAAGGTATAAAATCACTGCTCCGGGATAGAACTGCTGCACTGGGATGTGGACAGCGACATTACAGTCTTTATTTTCTACTAGGACTCCTAATACCTACATTCTTCAGAAAGCCCTTCACTCAGCATGGGCAGTCTCTTTCCACTTCAACTGATTTCTGCTCAAGTCCATTATCTCTGCATCTCAATAGAATACTAAAGTCTAAGTAGATTATAAAATCATGAGTGAGGGATTCAAGTTTGGCATCTATCTGTTCAGAGTAGTACCTGCCATAAAATGAAGCTAGGGACAGAAAGTGATCACAAAAATATTTACTTAAATTTGTATGATTACTTGGTTAATCTCACGTCTGATTTTTTTCCACTGTTATATTCTAAAACACGTGCACAATATTTGGTACACAGCAGGTATTCAATAAATATTTATTACCATGGTAATTCTGACCAGCTGTGTAAATCACAAAAAGTGAAAACCGCAAAAAAATTAACAAAAGGGTGCGTTACCTTATTCCCACATTCTGTTAAGACTTCTGAAAACCTAGAATCCTTGAAAGCCTGGTGGTAACTGAATTATTTCCAACAGCGATTTTACATCTACGTCAAACATTCGGCGTCCCTAGTGATGTTGGTAAGTTGGCAAAATAAAAGACAACAATTCCAAATATTTTAACATTCTTATTATATAGCTTTCTGGACAGTTTGCTCCCAGACACACATTCAGGATAAACACACACTCAACATTAAGTGGTTATTTATTTTTCAGGTTTAAAAGGTTTCAAACTATGTATGTACAAGCTAAATAAAACAAACTAGCCTCAGAGAATCACTGTAGAGCAGAATCCATAAATACACAAGGTCTGTTTTATAGGACAGGAAAGATGATAACGTCATCAAATACAAAGAAAAACATCCAAGAAAGAGGTAGGCAGATTAGACCACTTAACAAAGAATATATTAACTAGGACCAGGACAAACCCCTAAAGGTCAGAGCAAAATTTCTTTTCTATGCCTCCCAGCTGCCTGGCTTTCCTTTTCTGCGCTGTGTTGCGTACTTCTGAGTCACCAGCCTCTGGAAGATCATCAGGCATCTCTCCCTCATCAGCCTGAGAAGGAGCAGATAAGGTAAAATGTGAGGTTCACACCAGGAACCAGGATGGAGAACAATGAAGTGCTGTAATATTATTACCAAGTACTTCTTTGTGGCTTCTTGTATATGATTATTTCCTTCAAATGCATCTTTCTCAATCTTTTGTATGTTTTAAGTTTTTATTTCTTTTCACAAGTAACTGTTACTTAACTCAATCTGAAGGATGTTCTAACTCAGCAAGAACCAGGATATGTCAATCTTTGTGTTCCTACAATTTATATTGTTAAATGAGGAAGTTCTATCAACTTAAACTGGGGAAATTTTCCTTCTCCCTTCTATCAATGGTCCCATAAGAAATGTTAATTTTCCCCTCTTTCCTATTTCTCTCTCACTCCTTCCTGATTCCTGCAATAGTCCTTTCTTGTATTAGAAAACTTCAAAAAAAGAATCGGTCACCTCTATTTATCTTTGCTACCTTCAAGAATATAAAAAAAAAAAATTAAGCAGATGCTGCCTGCCCTCTAGTGTTGTCAAAGATGACAACTGTTAGGAAAAATATACTGTTGGTTGAGCTACTAGGCTATTTTGTTGAATACCTATTTAGAAAGTTGTAATAGGGGGGCGCCTGGGTGGCTCAGTGGGTTAAATCCTCTGCCTTCGGCTCAGATCATGATCTCAGGGTCCTGGGATCGAGCCCCACATCGGGCTTTCTGCTCTCTGCTCAGCGGCAAACCTGCTTCCTCCTCTCTCCCTCTCTGCCTGCCTCTCTGCCTACTTGTGATCTCTGTCAAATAAATAAAATCTTTAAACAACAACAACAAAAAGAAAGTTGTAATAGGAGAAAAGATCAATTAGCTACTCTAGAATACGGTACAAATTTGGCAAAGTAATAACCACTTATGCATTTACAGATAAATACACTTTTAACGGGTTAACAACAGAAGCAAAATCAGAACTGTACAATCATCATACCTTCTGTTTCTGTTTTGCATGCTTCTCTGTCCACTGCCTGGCATTCTTGAGGAAGACTGGCTTATTATACTTAAATTCAGAGGACTGAGACAAAATCAAAGACAAGTCAATGGAGAGAAAAATGATCTGTAGTGATTAAGCTGCAGCTGCCATAAATGAAAAGTCAGAGGTATGAAGAAAGTAGGACGTGTGCTGCAGAGGCAAAAAGGATACTTACTATGTCGGCCATGAGTGGGTCATCAGGGTTGGGTTCAGACATGAGCAGCTGAATAGAAGTCAGTACGGTTGCAATGTTGAGGGATGGTCTCCAGGCACCCTATACACAGACAGGCAGCTGCTTTTGTATTCCTAAGAGTGTGATACTCTAATTCAAGTTTTATAGATGAGAACCACAGAATGTTGTGTCCACCCTTTACCCACCACTCACTTTTGGTGGCAATTTGAGGACATCTAAACAAATCCTTCCAGCAGAATCAATGTTTGGATGATAGATTGGAGTCAGAAATCGGATCTGCGGAGGTTCAAAGGGGTACCTTTGAAAGCACAGGACAATAGAGAATTTTTATTAAAGTACTTGTTTCTTTATAAACATATATTATAAAGAGCTTCCTGGTGACTCATCAGGGTTGCCTTTGAGAGGCAAACCTTTTTTCTCCTCAAAATTTTATTATGAAAACTTACAAACAATAGAAAAGTTGAAATAATAGCATTACAAACATTCCTGTACCCACCACCTACATCAAGCCACTTTATCCTGTGAATGCTTCAGCACATATCTCCCAAGAATAAGGCTGTTCTCCTATATAACTGCAATATTATCAATATATCTATTAAAAAATTAAAAATATATTCCCCAATATCATCTACTATTCTGATTTCCTCAATTGCCACCCCCCCCATTTTTTTACAGAGAAGTTTTAAAAAACAGAATAAAAAAAAATTCATACATTGCGTTTTTTTTTTTTTTAAAGATTCGTTCATTTGAAAGAGCACACACATGAGAGCGAGCGTGTGGGGCAGGGGGAAGGGGTAGAGGGAGAGGGAGAATCTCAAGCAGACTCCCCACTGAGCACAGAGCCCAACACAGGGCTCAGTCCCACAACCCTGGGATCATGACCTGAGCCAAAATCAAGAGTCAGACCTTAACTAACTGAGCCATCCAGGTGTCCCCACTGCATTTGGTTTTTATGCCTTTTTAGTGAGACAGAAACCTTGGAAAATTCCCAGCCAATTTTTAGAACTGATATATCACATGATTATCAAGCTACTTCTCTTAACAAGTTTGGCCAGGATCTGATGACATCTACATGTCAACAGTTAGACATTCATTTCTTCTCTTCCCCATTCTGCACAAAACTACAACTACAACTCACCCAATGAGAACCTTAAAGGAGACCTGAATTAAGAGGGGCCTTAATGTAAAGACAGAAAGTAGAATGGTGGTTGCCAGGTGCCGGGGGAAGGAGGAGCTGGCAAGTTACTGTTGAATGGGTATGGAGTGTCAGTCTGGGAAAATGAAAAGGTTTTGGAGGTGGATGATGGTAATAGGTGATTAATAATGTGAATATACTTAATGCCACGAACCAAACAGTTAAAATGGCTTAAATGATCAATTTTATGTTAGGTATATTTTAGCACGATGAAGAAAAGAGGGGCCTTAGATATGATCCAGCCCATTTTTAGAGAAGGAATTTGAACTCCAGAGATAAAATAACTTGCCCAAAGTCACATTATATCATAAGACTAGGATTAAAACCTAGGAACTTTAACTTCTACACTTAACACTCTACTACATTACCCTATCTTTTAATAACCATACTCTACCCTATAAGTTTAGAATCTAATTCACCCTGGGCACCTGGGTGGCTCAGTCAGTTAGGCGTCCAACTCTTGATTTTGGCTCAGGTCATGATCTTAGGTCAGGGTCATGAGATTGAGCCTCACATTGGGTGTGGAGCCTGCTTAAGATATTCTCTCTCTCCCTCTGCCCTTAGCCCACTCTGCATGTGCTTACTCTCAAAAAAAAAAAAAAAAAAAATCAAAAATCTAATTCACACTAACCTCTCGGGAATGGTAACTTCCAGCTTGAAAATACCTTTTTCATAAGGTGTGTCAGCTGCACCTAATATTTCTTTAAAGAAAAAAAAAATTAAGAGGTAATCAGATGATTTGAACGATCACAAAAGCTGGGCCTAGGACAGTAATTCTCTCTTAGGGCTTTAACAAGCTTCTCATGCAATGCACCAATGTACCCAAAATGTTGATGGCGTCAAACAAAGGACAGACAGAAGATCAAACAGAAGTTGGACAGTACTGACCACAGATCAAATATAAGCCGCAGTTTTGTTTTGTCTGTACTGCAGTATTCTAATTATTTATGTTTCCTGTCTGGCCTCACAGATATTTGAGATGGTGAGGTTTGGTCTAAACACTGCTTCAGAGCTAATGCCCAAATCTTGGCTATGAATCAGCAAAAGGTATAATAAAAGGCCAAAGAAGAAATGTCAAGCAAATCTCTTATACATGTAAACAAATTAGGTTTAGAACGCTGGTAAGGTACTTTGACCTTGCCACTGTTCTCTACTTTAGCATATACAAATGTTCAGATTTCAGCACAATCTTCAATAGGGTCGTCATAGGCATGACGTGATACCTACGAGCTTGAAGATCATCCATTTTGTCCTTATCTTGCCAGCAAGTGATGCCTGGGGGTGGCTCTGTGGCTAACAAGTTCAGTTCTCTCTTTAGACGTGAAGCTCTCTGCATGGTCCCCAAGTAGAAGGAACTGTACACGGTTCACTGCACCACACTAGAAGCTGGCTGGGATTCACTAGGGAGAAAAGGGGCAACTATGAAACAGTCCGCAAAGGTGACTCGAGTTTTTAGCACATGGCTTCAATTTAGTGAAAAGCAAAACAAATTCTTCCTTTTAATCTCTATTCTAAGAAAGGCATCTGAGTTTCTTCCATTTCCTTCTTGTTATCTATTCAAGCACATCTTAAAAATAAAGATTAAAGGGGCCCCTGGGTGGCTCAGTGGATTAAAGCCTCTACCTTCAGCTCAGGTCATGATCTCAGGGTCCTGGGATCAAGCCCCGCATTGGACTCTCTGCTCAGCAGAGAGCCTGCTTCCCCCGCTCTCTCTCTGCCTGCTTCTCTGCCTACTTGTGATCTCTGTCTGTCAAATAATTAAAATCTTTAAAAATAAAATAAATTTTAAAATTTTTTAAAATTTAAAAATAAAGATTTAAAATGCGAAGCATTCTACAAACAAAAAAACACAAGTTTTCAATTAACATGTTTCCACTGATAAATTATAAACTTATGAGGTAGAGCCTGGGTCTAATTTTGCCCCCCACTACATCCTCAGTATACCTGGCATAGAAAAGTCTTGACAAATATTAGCTGTGGGAGGAAGTCTACATATGCTTTGTAAGGAGAGCAAGGAATGATGATGATGGAGATAGTCTCTCTCTGAGATATTTGTAAGCGAATGCTTAAATATGTGAGGTTTTCTCCATGTATTCTGGATGCCACATCCTCCCAATTCTTCATTATTTCCAATCTTTTCCCCATCAACATTCAAATATGCTCAAAATCTCTCTCATCTAAAACAAACACCCACACCTAGATACACTCAACACCCTTTCTAACTCTAGTTCTCCCTTTAGCTGCCAAAGGATACCAATCTTTTGATATTAGGAGTTACATATACTATCTCCCAGTTTGTGGCATGTCTTTCCACTTTATTCATGTCTTTTGATAGTCACACAACTATTAACTTTAACATAATCAATTTTAAAACATTTTCCTGTACACTTACCCTTTCATGTATTAAATTTTTCCTTATCCCCAAACTTAGATATTTGTCTAAATCTTCTAAATGTTTTACAGTTTTGCTTTTACATTTAAGACTTTAATCCAGTAGGAATTGATTTTTGTGTATAATGTGAGGCAGAGGTCCAATTTTGGATCTTTTCCTCCATATAAAGAACCAATTGTCCTAGTCTTTTTTATGGGAAAGTCCACCATTTCCCTGCTGATATGGTCATAAACTAAATTTGCATATATGTGTGGATCTGTTTTGGGATTTTTCAGTTTGTTCCACTGATCAACTGGATTATCTTTGAGCCAATACCTGTTTTAATTACTGTAGCTTATTAATAAGACTTGACATACAGCAAGTTGGGTTCCTCCACCTGTTTTTTTTCTTCAGGAATGTCTTGGTTATTTTTTTTTTTTTTTAAAGATTTTATTTATTTATTTGACAGAGAGAGATCACAAAGCAGGCAGAGAGGCAGGCAGAGAGAGAGGAGGAAGCAGGCTCCCTGCTGAGCAGAGAGCCCGACGCAGGGCTCGATCCCAGGACCCTGAGATCATGACCTGAGCCGAAGGCAGCGGCTTAACCCACTGAGCCACCCAGGCGCCCCGGTTATTCTTTTTTTTTTTTTTTTTAAGATTTTATTTATTTATTTGACAGAGATCACAAGTAGGCAGAGAGAGGGGGGAAGCAGGCTCCCTGCTGAGCAGAGAGTCCGATGTGGGGCTAGATCCCAGGACCCTGGGATCATGACCTGAGCCGGAGGCAGAGGCTTTAACCCGCTGAGCCACCCAGGCGCCCCTGTCTTGGTTATTCTTGATCCTCTGCTCTTCCATGTGAGTTTTAGAATCACCTCATATAAGTCCACACATATATACATCTCAGGATCTGGTTCTCAGTTTTGTAAACTGAAAACCAGACTTGGCAGTAAATCTAGATTCGGTAGGGCTTACTCACAAAGGCTTAAATGTTAAAAGGTCAATTTATTAATTTGTACAACTATGATACAATTTTTAATTTTAATCCCATTCCCTCCTTAAGCTATTTCTATTTGGAAAACTAATTATAACCAGAAGATTACCTGGTGGGCACAGATTGTCATTATTAGATGGTTGTTATGATAGTCATGCACTTAGATTGAGGCCATCTATCTCCACCACCGGCATGTTTAAAGGAGACTAACTTTGTGTATTGGTTAGGTAAAGACATTCTCTTGAATTGTGCTGCAGACAAAATGGTCCTTTGGACCTTCCTTTTCTAATCTCCAGGCTTGCTGCTCCTCCACAACTCAAAAACTCTTCCAGAAATATTTAAATGAGATTGATAATACAACAGGTGAATTAAATTGTCACACAGAATTACAGGACAAGTCTTTCATATAAATTATTCTTTAAAGTATTTTCAAATTTCCTTAGACGCTCATAAAACCATCTTTTGGAGGCAAGTATTTCATTGGATAATTGAATTAATTAATTCCATTAGATAATTAATCTCGCATTTTATATACAGACCCTTACTACTTTTCTCAGGAAGCAGATGCTGAGAAAGCGACCACAATAAGACAAGAATCCACAAGAAACAGAGGGTACCTTTATATAAAATGAGAACCCAGGGGAAAGGGATTAGAACAGGGTTGAGGAATTTTAAGCAAGACAGTTTCTCTAATGGGGGCAAGCAGACCCCAGCCTCACTATATTAACACAAATTGGTATATGACACTCCTTGGCTCAAAAGCCATCAATTACTGAGTATTTTCTGGGCACACAAGTTCTTTACAACCAAACCCCAACTTCATATCCTGTAACTACTCCTCACAAACTTAGGCTTCAGCCACACCGACTTCTTTTTTTTTTTCTTTTTAAGATTTTATTTATTTATTTGACAGACAGAGATCACAAGTAGACAGAAGCAGGCAGAGAGAGAGGAAGGGAAGCAGGCTCCCTGCTGAGCAGAGAGCCGGATGCGGGGCTCATCCCAGGAACCTGGGATCATGACCTGAGCCGAAGGCAGAGGCTTTAACCCACTGAGCCACACCACACCAACTTCTTTTTGCTGCCCACTAAGAGTCTCATTCTCCTTCACACCTACAGACATTACACATGAAATGATCAATTCTTGCCTTTCTCTAGTAATGCATCCCAATCCTTCACTCCTTTCAACTGTCAACCTCTCTGTGCTTCCACACCAACGTGCACCGGGAGTTGTTATTCATCTCTGACAGCTTCTTCTCGTGCGGCAAAAATCCCTGGAGGACGGGTGTAGTCACTGTATTTTAACTTCTAAGTCAGCAATGCCACCAGTATGCAGCCTGTTAGTAAGTTTGAATGACTAGCGGAGGAAACGTGGCTTCGGGACCAGATGGTGAGGAAGACAAAACGGCCTGCGCGCGGCTCTCAGCGAGCGCCGGGCGGCAGCGTCTCTTGCCCGGGGGCACACCCCTCCCTGCCGGGCAGGGGCCGCTCGGGCAGCTCTGGCCGCCGCCGGGCTGCGGAGATTCCAGCAGAGCCTCCGCTCAAGAGCCGCTTCAAGAATCTCCCACATTAGGCAGAAACAGGACTCTGGTCCCTAAGACTCACAGGCACCGCCGCCAGGATGCCTTCTCTCCGTCGGGGAACCAGAAAACAGCCCTCTTACCTGTGCGCCTCCACCTCCCAACGTCCAGGCGCGGACCAGCGGCTATCCACTCCTGCGCATGCCCAGTCTGTTGGCGTCGCTCCGCCTCCCGCCACGAGGGCTTGCGATTGGTCCGCGGCAAGACCCGGGAGAGGAGCGCAGCTCCCTATTGGCCAGCGCTCTGAGTCTGGTTTCCGCTCACGCCGCTTTCAAATTAGAGCGCGCGTCGGACGCAGTCTCTTCTCCTCGTAGGCGGAGCTGTCTGTCAGGGTGGAGGCGCTCGGAGGTTCCGGCAGGCTTCAGGACTTGGTGTGGCCCGTGCGGTGACAGGTTCGGTGACGAGGTCAACTGTCTTTGTCAGAGCGGGGAAGGAGCTGGAAATCGCCTCATAGGAGGAACAGCGAAGGGAACCGGAGATATTTGGACTGGAGTAGGGACTGCCTGATCCGTCTTCACGAGGAAACTTTTACTGCGTCAGAGGATGCATCCAAGACTAGCGGATGAAAGTTAAAGGGATGCAGAGTGTAGCCCAGTAAAGCATTCTAGCAACGAGATCCCTGAAGAACAGAACCGGTCACCTTGGGCCGCAGTGAACTCCTTCATCACTGCAAGTGTTCGCGTGGAAGTTGAAGAGGGAGAGTGCAAAGGGGATCCCTGCCTTGGGTGGAAGCTGAGACTAGATGGCTTCGAGGCCTTCTTCAAACTCTAAAAGTGTGGTGCTACCTGACGAAGGAAGTACCTGTTTATGGCTAAGCCGGCCTTGACTTCTCGAAGTTTCTGGGCTCCGTGAGCGTTCATGGGTGACTCGGACTTGACCTGAATCTAAAGGACGCGGCTGGAACTTGACTAGCCTTTGGGGATACTGTGGGTGGAAAAACACCAGCAACACATAACACGCGCCAAACCCTCCTCTCACTGCTTTCAGCTCATTGTGTGGCTTAACGCCCAGTCTTTCTAAACTTGCAAACCAATATAATTCTGGCCACTGCCGTGATTTCTGCGTTTCGTCCAAACTGGTGTTAAGTAGCTCGTGGTTCCCCGAGTCCATTGCAGGCATGTTACCTCTTTTCCAGAGACCCATACATTCACTGGCACACTGTCCGTGATTCTACCCTGGAGATCCTCACACTGGTTGTAAGAATGAATCAACTAAAATAGCTTATGAATTACGAGCATAAGGAATCCTGGGACTGTCCAGTCTAATTTCCAGTTAGCTGCTGGGGTTTTGCATTTATTGTTAATATTTACTCATTGTAGTCAAGTGTGTTCTGTCATAAATCTGGAGTTGGATGCTTATTTTACTACTGATACTTTGTTTTAATTCCTTCAATGTCTTTTTTTTTAAAGACTTTATTTATTTACTTGACAGAGAAAGAGACAGGGAGAGAGGGGACACAAGCAAGGGGAGTGGGAGAGGAAGAAGCAGGCTTCCTGCCCACAGGGAGCCCAATGCAGGATGGGGGGCTGGATCCCAGGACCCTGGAATCATGACCTGAGCTGAAGGCAGATGCTTAACGACTGAGCCACCCAGGTTTCCCTTTTCAATGTCTTCTTTATTTTCTTCCTACCCCAAATGTAATTACAGTTCTGTTTTCAGAACTGAAACCGATCACTTCCTTGATCTCTGAGATCCAGGTGGTTCTCTGAGAAATTAGTCCTTAAAATGTCTCTTAGAAAAAGCAGGAACTGTGTTGAGTCTTGTGGAGAGGAGAGATGGTACCATAAAACAAGGAAATGCCAATAATTTTGGCAACTAAACTCAAAGGATTGAATAAAAGGAAAAAGGTAAAAAGAACTCCACAGGCTAAGTGTACAGTTTCCATTTGTCCACCAGAGGGAGGTATGTTAATTGGTGAGACTAGAGGCCAGGATGGAAATTTTTCCTTACCTGTGTAGGGTGTCATTGCTTTTAAAAAGGGAGCATTTTAATATTATGATTTATTTCTTAGGTGTATGTGTGGGAAGTTATTTAACAAAAGTTTCTTCACACAAGAATATAGATGCATCGTAGCTGGCTCAGTACATTTAAAAGCACAAAAATTATATTTTATTTATACACAAAATTATTTGCCAGGATTTATCACTTTTGTATAAAAAATTTTCTTTAGTTGGACGCCTGGGTGGCTCAGTTGGTTGAACAGCTGCCTTCAGCCCAGGTCATGATCCCAGCGTCCTGGGATCGAGTCCCACATCAGACTCCTTGCTCGGCAGGGAGCCTGCTTCTCTCTCTGCCTCTGCCTGCCATTCTGTCTGCCTGTGCTCGCTCTCTCTCCCTCTCTCGCTCTGACAAATAAATAAATGAAATCTTTAAAAAAATTTTTTTTCTTTAGTATAGAGTATTTCTAAATCTAAACTATTATATATATGCATATATAATAGTTTATTATATATTTACTATATATATTTATATTTATATTTACTATATTATTTATCATTATTACTATATATATTACTATAAATATATACTATATATATTTACTATATATATAGTAAATCTAAACTATTATGTTTGTTTAATGGGCTGGTTATATAAGTTTACTCTCAGAAAGTCCTGGGGGAAGATGTTACAGGAAAAAAAGCTAATGTGATTTTAATTTTGAAAACCTTTTTGATCCATTATACACAGATAAATTTGGGGGGGTTTTGTGGCATAACTTTTTTTTTGGTTGAGCCAGTTAAATTAATAATAATTATTACTTTCATTTATGCTAAAATACTTTTATTCATACTAATTTTTGTAATCATGTAGCTGAAGATACATTCCTCTCCTTCTAGGTAGGGATGCACTTAAATTATCCAAGGAATTTAGGACAAGCTCCAAAGAGGGTATTATAAACTCTAACAACCTCAGGGGAAAAAAATAAGTAAATAAATTAAATATAGTAAGGAAGTATTTCCTGGAACTTCCTAATATTGAGATTGAATTCTTCCTGTTGAAATTTAAGTTTACCTCTTAAGAATAGAAGGATTTAACTTGAACTTGGCCAATTTTAGCATATTTATACAACTGGAGCCATATAGTTCTTCTTCCCTGATTCTGAATGTGAAAATAGTATAACCAAAAGAAATGTAACATTTTTGATCCTTGAAAATTTTACCCCTGGGGGCGCCTGGGTGGCTCAGTGGGTTTAGCCTCTGCCTTCAGCTCAGGTCATGATCTCAGTGTCCTGGGATCCAGTCCTGCATCAGGCTCTCTGCTCAGCAGGGAGCCTGCTTCCTCCTCTCTCTGCCTGCCTCTCTGCCTACTTGTGTCTCTCTCTGTCAAATAAATAAATAAAATCTTTAAAAAAAAAAGAAAAAAAAATTTTACCCCTGTTAAAAATTGTTATTACAAAACCATTATGTTGGGGCGCCTGGGTGGCTCAGTCAGTGTCTGCCTTTAGCACAGGTGGTGATCCCAGCGTCCTGGGATCAAGCAGGGTGCCTGCTTCTCACTCTCCCTCTGCCTTTCCCACTGCTTGTGCTCTTTCACTCATTCACTGTGTCAAATAAACAAAGTATTTATTTTTTAAAAAAGATTTTATTTATTTATTTGAGAAAGAGTGCATGAGCAGGGGGAGGGACAAAGAAGGGGGAAAGGGAGAAGCAGATTCCCCACTGAGCAGGGAGCCCAATCATGACCTGAGCTGAACTGAAGGGAGTCGCTTAATAGACTAAGCCACCCAGGCACCCCCCACATCTTGATTGTTTTATTACACACTGTTATTCACTGTTTATAAAGACTGTAGTAAGAAAATTAATAGTTACAAAGTATTTAAGAATACCTAATTAAAACATATTTTGGAAAGACACAGTATTCTTAAACATAATATTTTGCATGTTCATGTCATTTTTCATTTAATTCTCAGTTTATCTCAGGGGAAGTTGAGGCACCCACAAATGTTCACAATGGAATATAATAAAGTTTCCCTTTAGAATGTCCTAATCACTTTTGTAATAATTTTTAATGAAAAATTTTAAACACAGAGAAGACTGTTTGAAAACTTAAAGAACTTAATAATTGTATATGCTCTCTTTCACTATGGACAGCACATTTAATTACATTTTGTCCAGGACTAAGGCTGTGGGAGTGGGTATAGGTATTAAATCAATTGTACGGGTTTTATAACAAAGTTCACTGTAAATATGAAAATGTCCTGCTTGCTGCCGTAGGATTTTAGTATGCCCATTGTTGTCTTTTTGTAACTTTGGGGGAAAATTCCCAAAAGACCAGGTATCCACTCTGTCTCCTAAGAATTTAAGATCCATGAAAGGAGCAGAGAAGGAGGAGGGAGTAAGAAGGGAAATTAGTATTAATTAGTATATTAATGAGCTGATATGTGCCAAATATAGTACTAGGTAGCCTTGCATGTATTATTTAATCCGCAGGACTATTCTGTGAGGTATTACTATTCCCACTTTACAAATCAGGAAACAGGATCAAGGAAAGCAAGTAACTTGTTTAGGGATGTGAATTCAATTTGAATTGAAAGCTTTCGTGTTCTTTCCACCATGGTTGGATGCATCCTTTTCTGGATCTTTTAAGAGCCCAAAATATAAGTGACTCATTGAAAGAATTAATGCATAATATATGACATATTATGACAATATATGTATCCATGCTCCTCCTCCCCATGCACCTTTACATTTACTGTGAATAATATATGGTAATGTATTACACGCTATAATGTAAATAAAATTTAGATTTAGAACCAGGGCATAGATTTGAGTTTTTCGAATACTTTATGTCTAGTTTTCCCCAACAGAAAAAAGGGATAATTACTGCTTCTTTTCCACTTCAAAGGACTGATGTGATAATTAGGGAGCCAAGATTAGTCACAACAGTAATAAACTACAATTCCCGAAAGGCTCAAAGAGGCTGACGCCGGTCCGGGACAGGGTTCCAGCTTTAGGGCAAAGGTGACCCCTCTGGCTCCCGCGGCCAAATAGGGAGCAGCCGGTCCTCGCCTCTTCCCTGAGGCATCCAGGGATTTGTAGTTCCCTCAAGGCCATGATCTGCCGTTAGGGCCCGTCTCTCACTACAAGTCCCGTGATGACCAGAGGCGCGGGCAGCGCCTGCGTGTTGAAGCCGAGGGAACCGTGCGGGCGGTGCTACTGGCGGGAGGAGTAAAGATGGCGGTGCTGGGGTCTCCGCCTTCTGCTCCGGGCTGAATCGCTCTGAGGGAAGCTGTGGCGGCAACTGGGGCAGCAATAGCAATCCAGGGGTTGTGAGTTTCAGCAGCAGCTGCGGAGGTCGGAGCAATGGCGGAGCTGGAGCACCTGGGCGGGAAGCGGGCAGAGTCCGCGCGAATGCGGCGGGCTGAGCAGCTTCGGCGCTGGAGGGGCTCGCTGACAGAGCAGGAACCCGCGGAGCGACGAGGCGCGGGGCGGCAGCCGCAGACTCGTCGCGGGAGCCCCAGGGTCCGCTTCGAGGACGGTGCTGTTTTCCTGGCCGCTTGCTCTAGCGGGGACACCGACGAGGTGAAAAAGCTTCTGGCCAGAGGTGCGGACATCAACACGGTCAACGTGGACGGCTTGACAGCCCTGCACCAGGTAACTCCCTTTTCGGTCGGATAGGCGTCCACTCTCCTACAGATGAGACTGTGACCCCTGCGGGCCGCCCATGGGGAGTGTTAGTGTCACCACCGAGCTCTCCTGCACGGACACTGGTCCTTTGGGGCTAGTCGGTTTCATTCTCGTACAGCTTGCTCCACTAATCAAGTCTTTTTCTGACCCCAGGGTCTCTACCTGAAGGAGTAGTGTCACCCCGCTGCCTGGTCAGTGTTTGTATTTCCCTCCACCTACTTGAGTTGTCATGGTTACTGATGATTTGGTCGCTGGTGTTATGCCTATAGATTAGTCATCTTCACTCTCTAATTGGTGTGCCTGTACACCATGTCACTCGTATAGGCATCGTCAATGTCATCTGATGCCTTTTCAGAAAATTCAGTTTTCTGTGTGGCCCTGTTATCTGAGATCATTCAGAGAGTAAACCCGTATATTAGGTTAAAGTAAGCAGATCTTCTGAAACCATACCTCTTGTTTTGCTGGTTTGTAATGATTCATAAACAGCTTGTGTCTCCCACAGGCTCCTAGAACACCTCTGACCTCATTGTTACGTGTGTCTTTTTAGGAGTATTACCTCCCTAAGAGCTTCCTATGGAGAAGCTGAATACTTCTGAATACCTACTGAATCACTTATGTTTGTTTGATACTTGTGGAATAGTCTTTTTCTTTTCTTTTTTCTCAAAGCTTTTTATAAAAATCATATGCCCTATATATACCTATAGTATATGGGTTGTGGCTATAACTTAACAGTGGTGTGCTTACTAATAACATTCTTAGTGCCCTCATTTTATGCAACAGTATTCTTACTTATGCAGTAATGTTCAATACATTCTGACTGTCATAACTAACTCCCCCTTCCCTCCCCTAACGGAACTTCATTCCTTATTTTGGTGAGCTGAGAGCTGGTCACCCACTCCTAATCTTTCTTATTTTTTTTTTCTGCCGTGTGTACAAAGTAAATGTGTTGGCATGAGAATCCACTTCTAAATAATAATTCCATTTTGTGTCATACCACTTACTGAATGTATTAGCCAATAGCCTAAAATTATCCCTTACGTTTGCAACCCTTCTCTTTCAGATGGAAGAACCTTCTCTTCTTTTCATTCTGTTTGTATCTGGGGTTTTTTTTTTTTCCCTGCTTATAAGAGTGGCCCACGTAATTAGCAAGCAACATTTGTATAGTCCTTTGCTGTTTAAAAATTCTTATGTGTGGGACGCCTGGGTGGCTCAGTTGGTTGGACGACTGCCTTCGGCTCAGGTCATGATCCTGGAGTCCCGGGATCGAGTCCCGCATCGGGCTCCCTGCTCCGCAGGGAGTCTGCTTCTCTCTCTGACCTTCTCCTTGCTCATGCTCTCTCTCACTGTCTCTCTCTCAAATAAATAAATAAAATATAAAAAAAAAAAATTCTTATGTGTGTCTTCCCCTATGTGGATCTCAGCAGTGATTCTTGAAGTAGGTGTGGCAAGTAGTGTTGTAACTCCCATTTTACAGATGAGGAATCTGAAGCTTGGAAAATTGTTACTTGTGCAAGATTAGAAAAGAAACAAGTTGCCCTTAGGCATTGATTTTTCAGACTTAAATTCCAGAGCTTTATTTCTCACCTAATAAGGAGCTGAATATAAATAAGCTAGATGCTAAGAGGGCCTTATGCATTATTTTAAGTTTCTGGATTCTTTGAGAAGGTGAATATTTATTTTTCAAATAAATTTGGAATGTTAAGGAGATGGAGATCTGGATTCTGGAAGGAACCGTTTCTTGGGCTCATAGATGGTAGAGAAATAGAATCCAGGTTTCTGGCCCATGTGCTCCTTTACTGAGTCACCATTCTATCAAAGCAGTTTTCTTAGTGCAACTCAGGAGCCCTGTTTCTTCTACGGCGACTCTGCTACCTGAATCTGGTTCTTACTGTATACATTTTAGTAATGCCCTGAGAAAAGCACATGCTTTGAGGTCACTCTGGTAGAGCTCCTTCTCATACAAGGTAACCACTCTTCTGATCCTTTCTGAGACTGACTTTCTTGGTGCCTTTCCTTCTGTCTTAACTACCGTCCCAAGTTGTGAAATACAACTTCTCTCACTTTATATGCTGTTCACATTCAGTTATCTCTTGAAAGAAGAGAGGAAGGACAGCTATGAGATTTTTAAAAACAATGACACCTGCATAGGCAATGTAGGGATTTGTCCCTGTTTATGGGTCTGACAGTGAGTTGAATTGAATAGGTATACTTAATACTAGACAAATTCAACCGAAGATTAAGCTGCTTCAAGATTTGGAGCCAAACAAACCTTCTGTTGAGAAACTATCTCTTTGTTTGAATCCAGACAAGGGGCCTTTATTGGCTCAGGAACGCTTTTACAAGTCAGTTTCCGTGGAGTGACAGTATGTTTCTCCATGCTCTGAAGAACTCTTAAGGTACATAAAAGGTTATATTCAAAATGTGAGACTGGAGCTGCCAGTAGCTGAACAGCTTACTTTGTGACTGATTGTCCTTCTGTGAAATGGAGAGTGGTACAATTATCTGAATTATTTAGTTAAAATATCCATCGGTTATATAAACACAGTATGAATTATCAGGATAATTGCTTTCTTTCTCCCTTCTCTTTGGCCATGGCCTCTTGACCAACTGTGAATGACCATCTTGGCATGTTGGAAGAAACCCCCAGGTGATAGGGGTGGTTGATTTTTCTCCTCCCCCAACAAGGTCACAGTAAATGATTTACACTTCAGGTTGTGGTGCCTTGATGCTACTTTTGACTTAGAGACCTTTCTTTCTTGGCAGCCTTTGCTAAGACCACGAGGTGCTTGAGTCAATGATAAGCTCCAGGGGGCCTATTAATAATACTTGAAATAGACTGAGGTAAGAAATATCTCAAAGGTTAGACCTTCTCTGATGAAAGCCTTGGAAACTGATGCAGACTAACTAAACTTGGATGAGTAAATTGTATATGCCCTTAGTATCCCAGAGTTAACAATGGAAATCAGGCATTACTCTGATTCTCTAAGCCGTGAAAGTATTTGCTCACAGAGGAATTCCCATTTCATTTATTTATATACACTATCAGTCATGACATATGGGTTAATATAGTTCTGTGTGAGGTGGTACTTCTTAAAATTTCTTTTATTTTTATTTATTTATTTTGCAAAGTTGATTGTTATCCCCTATTTTGGTATCCTTAGTATTACAATCTCGGGTGCTCTAGGTGTAGATACAGGCTCTTAAAACTATATCTGTGAAATTGTTGGGCTGCTGTAAGAGGCAAGTGCTTGCTTTCAGAAAGGAGATTTTCTGGGATTTGTTAGAATGAGTGCCTGCATATTTCTTCAAAACATATTTTATTGGCACGTATCTGTGTTGGGTGTAATGGATTCTAATGTCTGTCCACACAGAGATGAGGATGATTCTGTACTTGATTCAGAAACTCAGGTCAGTTTTGTAGTGGTCTCAGAGTCCAAGTTTGGGGACACCCCAGACTGGAATTCAACTCCTAGTATTTTCTGTTATTCTACAGCTGCCTCCATCTGACCCTGTAGCTTCAGGGAGATTAAAATGATCTATCTCTCTAGAAGACAGAAACAGATGAGGGAAGGAGGAAAGGCAGAGCAATTTATATTCAGAGTAAGACAGAGTAAGACAGAAGAAGACTAGGATGGCAATGTGTTCAGTTCAGTACAAAATAGTATGTATATGTGCCAACAGGGGTGGTGAAACAAAACTTTGTATTCTTTGTAGTTTGTTTTTAAGTAATCTCTCTGCCAGATGTGGGCCTCAAACCCATAACCCCAAGATCAAGAGTCTTGCTCTATCTACTGAGCCAGCCAGGTGCCCCTAAAACTTGTATTCTTAACCCCTTCTCTTTTATTGCAAGTTCGTTACTTATTTCCCTTATAGTTCTGCTTGTGAGATGTTTTACCTCACCTGTGTATATTGATGAATTCAGTTCAGTGTCAGGACCCAGGGCAATATGGGATTAAGAAGATCCTGTTGGCTTCATCATTGTGGATTTGGAACAGTCATCCTGAGTCATTTAGTAGTTTACCTCTTTCAGTTGGTTATGATGCATGAGACTATGTCGGGCACCTGGCTCCTTGCCTTATGAGTATTAGTCCCAAGTTTCCATGCTATAATGGACCTCAAAGCCAGATTTGAAAAATAGGCTTATTTTTATGGTGGGGTGTTTTTTTTGGTTTGTTTTGTTTTTGAGTATAGAAGCAAGTTACTTTTATTTGTTCCCTAGCCAGATTTTTGTTGCCCATTCTTCAAGTCCTGTAGAGTAGCAGTATACTATCATTTGGGCTTATAGAATCTTCTCTGTGAATATTTTTAAATAGGCAAGCTGTCAGTGTGTTTGGTTTAAGCATAATTCTGCTAAACGTAGAAGGTTGGATGGGTCTTGTTGGTAAATTAAAATTAAGTCATTGTTTGCTTATTTTTATTTTTAAGTATTTTTAAATTAAAGTACACTTTATTAGGATGCCTGGATGGCTCAGTCGGTTAAACGTCTGCCTTTGCTTAGGTCATGGTCCCCAGGTTCTGGGATCAAGCTCCGAGTCAGGCTCCCTGCTTAGCAGGGAGTCTGCTTCTCTCTCTCTCTCTCTCTGCAGCTCCGCTTGCTTGTGCTTGCTTTTCTCTCTGTCAAATAAATAAAATCTTAAAAAAAAAAAAAGTATATATACAGTAAAATTCACCTTTTTGCATGTAGGGTTCTGTGAGTTCTGACAAGTACATGCAATTGTGTAGCCACTATCGCAAATCAACATATAGAATATTATCATTATCTCCACGATTTCTTTGTCCTCCTTGTAGCTACCTCCTCCTCCCACCCCCAGCCCCTGGCAGCCATTCATCAATGTTCTGTTCCCATAACCACAATGCCCTATAGATGAATCTTACAGCATGAAACCTTTTGAATCTGGCTGCTTTCATTTGCTGTAATGCAGTGACATCCATCCATTTTGTCGCATGTGTCAGCTCACTGGCCTTTA